AAAATTCAGAGCTTTATATCTTCAAGACGGACTGAGCTTTTTCAATAATTATTTCGCATTTCACTTTATCTTAGTATCGAGTTTTTTCAGAATAATGTATACCTTTTGTGCCATAACAGGGAAATGACAATTTACCTTTAGCACTGACTCCATTCTTCCGCCAAAAACCGTTTAAAAAACATGCGGTTGTTTGGAATTAAAAGTTTTATCACTTTGCAAAGTTTGAGCTCCTTCGGATAAAAGACCCAAATGTTTTTCGAGGGTGCCGCCTGAAGCCCTCTGCTGGCCCAGCGTGAAGAAAGGTAAGAGATGTACCCCAGGAACTAAAACAATGAAGCATCATTTACGATTTCACGGGTTAAGTAAAACCTTTCTGTGTAGTTTGTACTGATGTTCACCGAGAATTGATCATGCTGTGATTGTAAGAAACGAGGCAGACAGAACTGCATCTAACTCAAACGAAAGAGTCGCATGGAAATAAGAACTCGTTATCATTTGCATTTGAGGTCACTCGAGAATGGATTTGGTCATCATTTTACTTGTTTGGCGTATTTTCCCCATTCTGCTCTTGGTTCTCCCACGCACTTCAAATTCAATAAATTTCAAGTGTGGTTGCTGGCGGTTTGAAGTTGGTATGTTGTTGTTGTTTTTTAAAAAATTCTCTCAGTATTTGTCGCTGTCTGTAACAATTTATATTCTTGGACAATAGACGCAAAAGAACCAATCTTGTCTTTTTTACGCATGATATTTCTAACTGGATGATAAGCTTTGGGCCATTTCACCATTTGTTAATAAAGTGTTAACCATTGAACTTTGAGTTTAAAAACTGTTCTTTATAACAGGACGAGAGGAGCCATAAATTTGAATCAAATCTATCATTGTTCACTGATACTATGACTTACCGCTTTTTAGGTTTCCTCTGAGCAGTTCCAAGGATGTGTCTGCTTTCTTACAGCCATGAAGCTCAACGCGCATGCACCGCTGACCAACCCACGAGAGAGGAACAAAACGGACAAAACGAGCATGGAGGTGAGGCTTCAACCAATGACGAACAAGAGAGGACTGGTCCGAATTTCCCTTAAATTCCTGGACAGGGCAGTTTTCAATAGGTAATGTTAAGAAGCATCAATAACGGCTAAAATAGTGACTGTTATACTTCCAGGCCTTAAGAGGCTATGCACATTTTCTACGACAATCTGAACTGCTTTAACAGTAGATTCTACGTGAAGCTTCACTTTGTATACGATTTTTTAAGGGGAAGGGGGGTGGGGAGATGGGTGACACCTTGGGGTAGCAGAATCAATGGGGCAAAAAATGTTGCAAACAGGAGCCATTATCGATTATGTCTCCTGTTACAATTTGAGAATGGAAACCTAATTGACAACCATTTCGCTACAAGTAATAGCAATGCCACAAAGAAAAAATTACAATGAAGTACCTCCCCAGGAAGCATGCCTTTATTTCTGCCTTTTTCAATTATTTTTTTATGTTTTGCTTCTCTAAAAGGGGGGCGGCTAGCCACCCAATCCATCTCCTCCTAAATCTGCCCCTACTATAACTTTTGCAAAATATGAACTGTTGAAAAACAGACCTTGATTTCGCCTCCTTTATCAGTGATTACAATCCACTCGTTACCATCAAAGCTGTAATGTACGAGATAACTGCTAACCCAGTTGTCTTCAGTAACTGCACCTTGCGTTGAAACCGCTGACACAGTATGAATTGAGAGCAGATCCACTTGTAAGTGTTGACTTCTCAGATCAAAAGTTGGAGCGGCACACCAGGAACTGTCAGTCCAAAAAACAAAAAAGGATATTTATGAAACAGAAAATGGTGCACGTGTTTATATAATACCGAAGAAATAGCAAATATTTTCCGTGTTATTATCCGGCGGTGGGTTGGTTAGCAGTTCTCGTAAGGTCCACCTGAATGGCTCGATACTCTTGGAGAGAACATAAAAACAAACAACAGAAGCAATGTCCCTAGCCCCAAAACAATAACAGCTGCTCCATCGTGACCACGACTTGGATGAAAAATAGAATTGCAAGCCTACAACAAACGCTACAGTTCAAGTCGAGTTATAGAAACACGAGTCGAAGTTTGGGAGAACGAGGGTTGCTGTGAAAACCCTCGCCACAGTCAGTTATATTCCGGAAGACGATTTTTTCCTTTCTGTTATATCTTTCTTTGTCCCTCGCACGTTAAAATTAAACTGAGCTTCGCTATCCGCGCCGCCTTTTCAACATAATGTCGATACCTGTCATGGCTTGAGCTGATCAAAGAAGCCCTCCCTTGTTTCGCTGCATGAATGTCGTCCAATTCTGAGGAAGCTGAGAGCTGTTCATCTTTTATTCGTCCATCACCTAGTCCCAGGGCTAACGGACAGGCTAAAATAGAGAGAATGGCCATTAACTCAGCCAGTTAAGTGCATTACATATGTATAGGGATTTCCTGAAACCTGATTTATGAAACCGCAGGTGAATATTTATAACTTAAAATCAAAATACACGGTTTACAAAATGAGGTCAGCTGTTCATTATGAGCTGATAGCGGACGAGAAAGAAAGATAGAAATTCAATAACATTTTATCAAATTTAAAAATTTGATATTTAGCCTGTAAATATTACTTTTAATATTACAGTTTAATTTAACATGAAGTAGTGGTTGGCTTAAAGCCAATCAAAATTGAGATCACTTTGAAATCGTGCAATAATGTAAAACACATACATTTCATAGTGCATGCTTTTCCTTTTGGCGTGATGACGGGATCACAGAAGTGCACAATGAGCTTTGTTTTGTAGATGTCGCGTCTAATACATGGCAAAGCATGTCTATAGATATCAATTTCCTCGCGCGAGAAACCTGAAAAAGTAATTACATTTGTATTTAATAAACAATGTCTGATCATGTAAAAGAGGATGAAGAGTTAGATGGTTCATGTCGCTCTTACATATGGATCTTATTTTCCTCAGTGTCTCTCTCCAACTAGGTGTATAAAACGAGCGCCATTTATAGACTTGATACTGGGGGGGGGGGATAACCCTGGGATTGACTAACATTCTATCCAGGGGGAGTAGAAATACTCCCAATCATTTCATGCTACAGAAACCGGGATAAGCTCCACATGTATTGGTGACAGACCTGAATCAGACTTTATCAGTGCCTTTCCTACGTTTTTACTCACCGATTAGGTAATACGTTTCCGCTTCCTTATTAGCAAAATCCAAAGGTTTGGTATTTTTGTGACGATTTGAGCCGCAGTATAAGGAACCAAGCAGTTTTCCGCCTCTAATGTCACACGTATTGAATCTACCATAGCTAACAGAGAAGACTTCTATTGGCTTCGCCAAAGGAACTTTGCACTTGGCAGTTACGTTGGAATCAGCTTTTAGCAGTAGAGGTTTATAATTTTTATGTTCCCTGCGAGAAAATACGTAAAGTACATTACAAAGTTGATTCAATATAAGTTATAATATGAAAATAAGTTTTTATAATTACAGTTAATATGTTGAATACAAGTTATTATATTACATTTGATTCAATATAAGTAAAAATACATTATCCGTACTTATGCATAATATTTATCTGTACAGTATGTATACATTCTTGACTATTTTTTAGTAGTTATATATTCTTAGATAGTTTAGTTTAATATTTATGATAATCTAATATGTGCTTTGCTATTTTGTTTTCTCGGCGCACCCGTAAACTAGCTGGTGCGTCCTGTGGTAGACTCTGCTTATCGAGTCGATGGGACGCACCGTCACCATAGCTAAGTGTGTAATTCAAGTAAAATAAACTGTCTATGTCTATCTCTACAAAGGAAAGGTCCTTCTACGCTCGAAATATTAAATCTCCTAACCGGTTGTCGTATCCTTCGTTAAATGCTAGCCTGGAGAACGTGTGGGGACAATATGCCCCATACTATACCTGGAATTTTGATTGTCAATTCTTTATCTTTCCCTCGCAATGTATGGTATTGTAAAGATATCAGCAACAGTATTAGGAGAGTTTTTGAAATTCAAGCGAAGAATTTGTCTTTACAGGACATTTAAGTGTTTGGTGTTCGAGAAATGTTTATGAGACGAAAAACGAGTACCGATATACTTAGGACGGCTGAAAATCAAATCCCAAATTAATAAAAAGCAAATATGTGCTAAATAAATGAAAACAATAAAAAAAAAAAAAAAAAAAAAA